TATACTCAAATAAAAAATTTTAAAAAATATAATTCTCTTTATAAATCGGGTGATTTTGTTTCAAAGTATGGCTGCTGACCCCTTGCACCTGAATCACCCGAGATACTTGTTTAAAACACAAATGAGAGGGTCACCTGGGCGGCTCAGTCGGTTGAGCGTCCGACTTCAGCTCAGGTCGTGATCTCACGGGTTGTGAGTTTGAGTCCCGCGTCAGGCTCTGTGCTGACAGCTTGGAGCCTGCTTCAGATTCTTTGTCTCCCTGCCTCTCTGCCCCTCCCCCGGTTGTGCTCTCTCTCTCTCTCTCTCTCTCTCTCTCTCTCTCTCTTTCTCTCAAAAATAAACACTTTAAAAAAATTTTAATAAAAAATAAATAAAACAAATGAGAGAAACAAGTCGGCCTCTGATTCTAATGCTTCTAAAGGGTGAAAGCTACTGTCAAGGCAAGCTGTACAATTGTAGCTGCATAATTTAGAAATTCATTATGCAGCCTGCTTGTGCTCTGGTTTCCTTGTTTCAAAAATACGTGTATTCAAACATGCTCCTTGCTTCTCCATAAAGAAGAATGATCCAAAGGTAAACAGTAACAATCTTTGATTTGCAAAAGTGGGTATTTTTGTGAAATTGCTCCAAAGCTTTGCACTTAATTCTTGAGAAAGAATCAATAGCCTTATAAAGTTGTTTTCAAGGCACACACAAAAATCCTCCCCAAGTCTCCTTGCCAAGGAAAAAAGACACTTTATTTTCTTTAATTTTTATTTATTTATTTTTGAGAGAGAGATAGAGACAGAGAGAGACAGAGAGAGAGAGGGAGAGAGAAAATCCCAAGCAGTCTCTGTGCTGATTGACTCGGGGCCACGAACCATGGGATCATGATCTGAGCCGAAATCAACAGTTGGACACTTAACCAATTAAGCCACCAGGCACCCGGGAAAAAGGCATTTTAAAAAGTAGATTCTATTAGACTCCTACCACATTACCTTAAAACCACAAATGTGAGTTTTTATGAAATCTGTTCCTTGCTTAACTACGTCTTTTATGTTTGGACTCAGTTTAAACCCCTGGGAAGCCCTTCCTACCTTCACCCCACCAGCATTCCTCCTTCCTCCACTGTGCCTGCTTGGGCTCTTTCCCTCTTCTCCTTGGCCTCCCTGTAGCCTAAAACACACCCACACTCACTCTTTATCTACCTAAACACTTCACAGCCTTGAAGGCTCAGCTAAAAATACTCCTTCCTTAGGAAGCCTCCAGGAGAGGTCAAGTCCCCTTGAATTGTGACATAGCAACTAACTAAAATACCAGTTAGGCTGCGTTCAGCTGCCAGTACGAGAAAGGCTGCCTTGGGGCGCCTGGGTGGCTCAGCTGGTTAAGCGCCAGACTCCTGATTTCGGCTCAGGTCATGATCTCAAGGTTCGTGAGATCGAGCCCAGTGTTGGGCTCTGCACTGACATCACAGAGTCTACTTGAGATTCTTCATCTTCCCCCTCTCTGCCCCTTCCCTGCTTGTTCTCTCTCTCTCTCTCTCTCTCAAAATAAGTTAACATTTTTAAAACAGAGAGAAAGGATGCCTTTAAAATTACCCAGTAAGGAAATGAATCACCATGTATTATGTACTATGTATCAGCAAGGTTGAAAGCTCCTAGGGAAGTCATGCTTCAGGGGTGGCTGAACCCCAGCTGGTTTCTCTGCCCACCCCTTCCCCCTGGAGGCTGTCCCCACCTGCCATTCTACCTAGTCAGAGGCGGCTGCTGGAGGGAGGGGGGAGCATGGCTTCTGGTGCCTTTCCCTTAGGCATATGATCCCTTCTTCTCCCAAAGCCTCTGGAAACATCTGCAATATCACTGGTCTAAATGAGCTTACGCCGCCCCATCCCAAGCTTGTATTAAGAGGTAAGATGACCAAGATGAAGTTAGAGAGTTGGCCACCTAATTCGCAACGCGCACAACATGAAGAGGGTAATAAGTATAGAGCAGACTAGGTCAAGTGGACAGGGCTGCTCAGCGCGATCGGTGCCCTGCGTCCCGACCAGCTGTTTGGGAGGCTGAAGGGATCAATAAATGAGTCTATCTGAAATGAACCTATTTCTGGAGTGGCGGGGGCATGCTTTGGTTGAGATCAGGGGTCCTCAGACTGTGGCCCCACCACCTGTTTTTGTAAAAACAAATTTACGGGAACACGGTCACACCCACTCGCGCATGGAGTGTCTCTCATGCTACAAACGCAGAGCTGAATAGTTGCAACACAGACCATATGGCTCCGAAAGCTGCAAACAGTCACTGGCCGGCTCTTCACAGAGCTGTTTCCCTGCCTCTAGCTTAGAATCACCGACCAGAATGGAACGATGCTGGCAAGGCAACCACAAGGTCCGCTGCAGTGCCTTCCTTTCCGACCCTCTTCCTTTCCGACACACTGACGGTGTATATTATCTTCTTGAACATCTGGCTCTTCTGGTAGGTTCTGGTTCCCTGACGGCAATGCATGGGGTCTTTCAAAATGCCTTGGTGATGCCATGTCCTCAACACCTAGCACAGGGCCTGGCAGGCAGTAAGCACTTCAGAAATATTTGTCGGCTGGGTAACTGAATGAACACACTCCTTAAGTAATCTTCCATATAAAAACAAAGGGGATGGTTTCTTGAGTGACCCACATCCCACAATAAGGACCGCATGAACCTTAACAGCATTAACATTTCCCAGGCCTCAGGGGGAAGATGTGCCCACACAGTCTCCTGGGAGAGGCAGCAGCAATGAGATTGGCTTCTCAGAAGCAGTAGAGGCAGTGTGGCTCTGGCAACCGGCACGCACACCATTAAAAACATGGGCCCCAGGGCCCGCCTTAGTGAGAATGCTCCCCCTCGCACACGTGCTGTGGCTCCCAACTGCGGTCCTGGGTTCTCCCCAGTGAGCACCAGAATCTGTGCCTTCGCTCCGCTGAAGTTCAGTCTCCATCAGTGTGCAAGGAAACAGTCACCATTTTTTAAAGATAGAACACAGAGGTAGTTTTGCAGGACCGAGGACTCGTTTTATCTGTAGATGATGACAGTTTCCATTTTTTCCTCACCATCCCACTAAGAGACATTAAAAAAAAAAAAAATCTTGGTGTGGCAAAACTTAAAACCACCAGAGTTTTTAAATTGTTAAAATGGCTTCGGTGAGTTTAGTAACATAAGAAATTATTACCAGTAGTAAAGAGGCAAGTCTTTTTTTTTTTTTTTTTTTTTTAAGTTTGACATTCAAGTGTTTAATCCACAATGCTGGGAAGATATGAACTACTGAGATGCAGTAATGAAAATTGCAAAAAACAGGATATGGGTTTCATTACAACCTGCTAATTAATATAGCAACACGCAATAGCAAGAGATCAGCAAGAACAGTATTCTAATCAAGTTGAGGCATGTGTGAAACGGCCAAGAATGCCTCAAACGCCAGGGAAAGAAAAATGCCAAATGCTATATTAAAATATCTCCCCTGGACACAGTTTGCTTTCCAAAAAAAACAACCAACCAACCAACCAACCAAGAGACAAACAAAAAAAGGTAAAAAACTGAAAAACAAACAAAAGCCAAGCTGACACTCAACTTTGTGCCAGCATTTTCCTCTGCATTTATGGCAATCACAAACGGATCCAGACTTAGGAAAGCCTTATGGAGAAGGAAAGAAAGAGCGGTCCGAAATCTCTTGTATTTTTTTATCCATGCAAATTCGTAGTATTTAACGTACCAACTTCTCCGCCAAAAGAGCTAGTATTGTTTTGAGGGAAGCAGGGTGTTTGTCATCCAATGAGTCAAACAAATCATGCTTTATTTTCAAATCCACAGAACTTTGAGATGGTATCACATCGGTCCATTTTCCTCAGTATCGGACAGAAATTTTTTTCACAGAAGTTCTACCATACAATTTTTTAATGATGATTTGGGATATAACAGTAATACTGACATTAGACCACCTCCCTCAAATATTTCTTCTTAGAGTGAAGTGTTTAATGTGAAAAGCGAATGTTTAAGTTAGTACCTCACTATGAACCAATCATCAAAAACTCAATCTATCCTTATATTAGGGAAAAGTATATTTGCTATTATTTGGCAGTAATCCTCGATGTGGGAACACCGATTCCAGAAAAACGTCCTCAGAAAATAATTCGATAAAGAGAAGGCTTGCTTTCGTTAAGTTTTTCATTATGATATGCCTTAAAATAACAGAAGCTGGAATAGACAGGATACTTAACTAGAAAGAAATAAGGAAGTGTTGGCGTAAAAGTTAGGTTTATCAACCGAGGGAAATATAATCCAATTAGTACAAGTTATCATGATGCAAGCCATATCATCCTATGCTACCTTTTTAATGGACTGCTAGGTAGAACACACTAGAGCTACAAGTGAAAATGTCTGAAATTTCCAGAAAAAGTCATGAGGTGTCCTTCAGCAGTGTGTGAACTTCTAACTATTCAATCACATCTCTCCCTGCTTCTCCTACCCCTGTGGCCTCCTGATGGACTGTTCCTATGCCTCTCTGATGCTCTCGCTCTGCCGTGTTCCTGGCTTGCAAGATGCTTCTGTCTACTGCCAGATGACCCTCGTGCATCACTGTGTTCAAGACCCAGCACTCCCACAAAGCTGTCTATTACTCTGGAGTGAGATCGCTTTGGATTTCTTAGCCCTTGAGAAACCTCAGGCAGGCTATAAATTCCACAGAGTTCTTTTCAGCACCCGCAATAAGTAATTGACACATGATTTTTGAATGAATTGATCAATGCATATAAACTCTTCAGAGCAGGGGCTCTATCTAAGCTTTGTATCCACAATACTTCCCACAGTTCAGGCAAACGGTAGATTGGCATAATTTCACTCAACAAATGGATAAGCGAGTGTGTGCGTATTGTTACACATGACTGCTAGCTGCACTACAGGGTGTGTTTTTCTCCCTTATCTCTCCCACTCTCTGCTTCTAGGAAAAGTCACATACGGTTCTTTTCTAAAAGGAGTGTCATTGACGAAGGAAACTTACCCAGGTCAAACTGGCCAGAGACATAGCCACAAGTCTGACGGACTTCCTCGCTGTCCCAGCCCAAGGGGTAGAGGGCACAGCCAGCACCGATCAACAAGCCTGCAAAGAGAGAAGCCAAGAGGGCTTTACTGGTACTCCTCTGCATCTCCAGGTAAAGGCAGCCGCATGGAGGGGGAGTCGATATTAGCGATACAACAAAAGGGCACGGTGTCCGCGTTTTGGAAAGCACCAGCCACTGCTCCTTAAAGCAATCTAAGGCCAGTTTGATTCCATGAACAACTGCGGGTCTGCTCAAAAGGAAAACAAAAACAGAAACAAAAACAAACCCCGATAGCTCAGTTGGGTTCGACTTTGCCTTTTAAAGCATCAAAAGCCTTGACTTTGGCACATGGATCGGACCTGTTAGCTGTACTCCCAGCCGTTAGAACTCTGGTGAAAAGTTGAGAATCAGGGAGCGTTCATCCATCACAGAAATAATCTAGAAGACAGATACTTCCACAATCATCTAAGTCCTCTTGCAGCTAAGACCAAAAGTACTGATGATTGAACTGAAGAAGGTGGTGGTTTTATTTCGATGTAAATGAAGTTATCGTGGCAGCACACTCTGAGCTGACAGCTTTTGATCGGCACGTCTGCAGTTCTGTATCGAAGTCTAACATGGTTTGACGAGAAGCTGAATGAGACTTAGGCCCTCACCACCGGAATCCGAGGGCTAATCGGAAAGCACCCATCCTGTCGCATCAGTCCGCGGGTACTGTCATCGTCCGTAAGTCCCACAAGTGTGCTGGGCCTGTAGGACCACCACATACATAGTCTGATTGGTGAGAACACCAGCACTGCCTGAGAGAATGTGGGGTATAAGGCGCTAGACGAGGGAGCCCCTTAAATGAGAAAATCCACTCACGTCGTAACACAGAGGCGGAATGACAGGGCCCCAAACGCCGCTGGAAGAGACTTGCAGAATTTCTGTATTTGAGTCCCTTTCTGTCCCCCTCTTGCTTCTTGGGCTCCTGGTAGATGACCCGAGCGGTTCTAACCCATACACACGGTCTGTTTACGGTTATCTAAGGAGGAGCGGCTTCCCAAACCCTTCCCAACCTCTACGCTGAGCTGTGTGGACAGACACCCCCTATGAACCGACACAAATCTCCCCCTCCCCACAATCTGTCCCTTGGTCAACGGTAAAACAACCGTTTAATGCTGAGGGCCTGTGATCCGAGGGAAGGCCTACAAAGAATCACAGAAACTGCAAATCACTAATTCCAGGATGGCTTCGATGCAGTTGGATCGATCTGAATTGTGTCGAGGCTAAAAAATAACTCGGCGACGGTATGAGGTTTTGCCGACTAAGCGAATGCCCCAGGGACTGGTTTCCCCAGGACAGTATTTGTAGCTCTCTGAAGACAACTCTAACAAGTTATCCATCACCAGGTAAAGAGATAATTAGTGAGGAGGCCAAAGTTTGTGTGAGTTGAGTTCCATGAGTGTTCAAAACATAATGTGGTACCATTTCCATGATAACCCAGTTCTTAAATTAATAAGGGACACTATTTTTTTTGAGAACTTGTGAGCAATTTTTTGAAGGATGACAAACGCAGAAAGAGAAAATTTTCAAATGTAAAAAAAAAAAAAAAAGAAAAATCGTGACATCGAAATCATCAGTTTTCTCTTTTTCTGATAGGGAAAGAAATGATAAATAGCCTCATTTGCTAATGTCCTTTTCAGATGGCGGGAAAATGTGTCACGTATCCACGAAAGTGCCTGTTTTGATTCGTGTGATGCCAGGCACTTTGGGAAACTACATAGAGAGAATTTTACATATGGAGCAAATTGGCGTGTGGTTTTCCAAGCGGTGGAACGCTTGGCAGTCAGGGTTCTTTTGTGGAATATTGAGCTGTCTTTATGACACTACGAAATGCAGATCCAACCATATAAATGAAGAACAATTTCATACATAGAAATTTATGTAATGTGCATGATTGTAAAAAATACCACGGGCATAGCTGACATTAAAAACAGAAGTGTTCAGAGCACGTGGGTGGCTCAGTTGGTGAGGAGTCTTGATTTCGGCTCAGGTCATGATCTCGCAGTTTGTGAGATCAAGTCCCACATTGGGCTCTGTCCCTGTGCTTAGGGTTCTCTCTCTCTGCCCCTCCCCTGCTTGCACTCACTCACCTACTCACTCACTCTCTCTCTCTCACAATAAATAAATCAACATTTAAAAAAAAGTATTCAGGGGACAGCAACTAGCTTATCTGGGTTTTTGTATTAATATTTATGTAGTGTTTGTATGTTTTGTCATCTGCTAAGGTTTGCTAACAGCAAAAATACTGCAGATTATAAAGGTCTGAGAAACATTTCTGAGAGAAAAATGTATGTTGCAAACCGATCAGTCTAATTGGTTCTTGCAGTTTTAGGTTCCGTAGGTAAACATTGGTGGCCTCCAGCTACCTTTCTGCTTGTTTTATGTCATGGAGACAGCAAGTCTTAGATTAAATTCAGCCAAATATCTAATGATGTTTCTTAGTCAGCTGGCACAAAAAACAGTCAGATGACCAATTCTGCAAGCCCAGTGAAACCCTCTTCCCCAAATCCATCACATAGTCACTCGAACAAGGACATTCAACACACTGTAAATACAACAAATCTTCAACCGGCAGGTTTAGGACACTTTGGGTCAAATCAGGCAGTATCTTCCATTTAAAGGAATGGGGGACAGGGACCAAAGAGAGTTTAGACCTGGACTGCCCAATGCGGTAGCCATGAGCCACACGTCGTGAGTTCAAATTTAAGTTTATTAAATTAAACTAAAAACTCATTTCTTCAATTGCACTGGCCACATTTCAAGTGCCTGATAGCCACAGGGAACTGTTGGCTACCACACTGGACTATTTTCACAATTACAGCAAGTGCTACTGAAGAAGGCTCTTCTAGACCTAAGAGACCATCTCAAAAGGATGCTGGGCTGGACAGATCCTTATACCCGAAGCTTAATACTACTTATTCATGAAAATCACCCCGGCTCTTTTAGATTCTCCCTTTCTAGGTGGGGCTAGAGATCAAGAAACTACATTTCAAAACTCTTCCGCTGGCAGAAATTCTGGCTCATGTTCTCTCAATGAGAAGCCCTCGTGTGGGATTCCGAAGGTAAAAGAGAAAACTAAACCAATTCCCCATTGGCAGCTGCAACTAGGGACATGCCTTTCTGTAGACCGTAGACATAAGATTTGGGGAGTGACTTCCCCCAAAAGTGAGGAGGCAGCCTCCTCAACATCACCCACTAAGGGCAGGTCATCAGCTGTAGTTTCTTTCTACCCTTGCACTTCCTGATTTCCTGAATTCCTCTCTGTCCTTCACTTCCCCAAACCTAAGAGGTCTGTGAAACTTTAAATCCCTGGACTACATCCCTTTCTACTTGAAACACCTACAGTGGTTTCTTTCACTGCTCAGACTCTGGCCAGTACATGCCCAAATCGTGCTGATACAGGTCTTTCTATCCTACCCTATTACTTGCACGTTATTCATTTTCTCAGTTAAAAATTCTCTCTAATACAACTTACACTGATTAATAAGCCTCAGTAAGTATTGATTGATATTAGAAGGTTCTGTGTTAATCCTCTGTGGTGTGGTCTCTGGTTAGGGAATTTATGCTAATCAATCTTTCCTGGAGTGTGAATTTCTGAAGTGAATACTCCAAATGTTAACCAACTGCCCTTAGTGTGTCGATTGGAGCCAACTAGCATTTTATTGTCCATACTGAAGTTACTATATTGTGACATAAAGTTAGAGACAATTTAACATACAAGTGAGAGCATCTTTTTTATTATCATTGAAGTATTACCCACATACAACATCTTACTAGTTTCAGGTGTACATCACAGCGATCTGATAGTTTTATACATTACGAAATGATCTTCCTGATAAGTCTAGTTACCATCTGTAACCATATGATTATTACAATATTATTGACTATACTCCCTATGCTGTACATTACATCCTCATGACTTACTTATTTTATAACTGAAAGGTTGTACCTCTTAATCCCCTCTACCTGTTTTGCCCAACTCCTTCCCCTCCCTCTCTGGTAATCAACAATGTGTTTCCTAGATCTGTGAATCTGTTTCTGTTTTGTTTTGCTGGTTTATTTGTTTTGTTTTGTTAGATTCCACATATAAGTAGAATCATACGGTATTTGTCTTTCTCTGATTTACTTCACTTAGCATAATAACATTTAGGTCCATCCATATTGTTGCAAATGGCAAGAGTTCATTCTTTTTCATGGCTGAGTAATATTCCATGATATATATCTCACATCTTCCTTATCTATTTATGTATTAATGGACACTTAGGTTGTTTCTGTATCTTGGCTACTATACATAATGCTGCAGTGAACATAGGGGTACATATATCTTTTTGAATTAGTATTTTCATTTTCTTCAGATAAATACCCAGAAATGGAAAGCTGCTAGATTGTATGTTAGTTCTATTTTTAATTTTTTGAGAACTTCCATACTGTTTTCCATTATGGCTGCACTAATATTTTGTTCTTACCAACAGTGCAAAAGGGCTCGATTTGCTCCACATCCTTGCCAACATTGGTTATTTTTTTGTCCTTTTGATAATAGCCAATCTCACTGGTGTGAGGTGATATCTCATGTGGTTTTGGTTTGCATTTCCCTGATGATTAGTGAGCTTGACATCTTTTCATGTGCCTGTTGGCCATCTATATATGTTCTTTGGGAAAATGTCTATTCAAAGTCCTCTGCTCATTTTTCAATTGGGTTGTTTGTTTTTGTTTTTGTTTTAAGTAGACTCCATGCCCAACATGGGGAGTGAACTCATGACCCTGAGATCTAGAGCTGCATGCTCTACAGACTGAGCCAGTCAGGCACCCTGGTCTTTTGTTTTGTTTTTTTAATATTAAGTTGTGTAAGTTCTTTATATAATTTTGGATATTAACCCCTTATTGGACATACCATTTGCAAATATCTTCTCCAACGCCACAGGTTGCCTGTTCATTTTATTGATGGTTTCCTTTGTTGTGCAGAAGCTTTTTAGTTTGATAAAATCTCATTTGCTTATTTTAGTTTTCGTTGCCT